CGTCCCAATAGTGGTCGCCAAATGCGGTGTCTTTCTGAAGGAAAAGGGTCAGTGAAGCTAATCCCATCACCCATCAGCTGTTAACAGCGCACAGCAACCGACGTAGAAGGCATCTTCCGATTAGCAGGCTCCGAGAAGCGCATCAAGGAACTCCGGACGGCCTTTGACACCCCACCCCGCTATGGAAAAGGTCTGGATTGGTCCGGCTATACTGTACATGACGCCGCCAATATTCTGCGCCGCTACTTCAACAATCTCCCGGAGCCTATAATACCGCTGCAACATTATGACCCGTTCCGGAATCCGCTCAAAGGCCATCAGGCTGAGGCAGTAGGCGCCAGTGAAGGACAGCAGCCCTCGGTCGGAGGCTTCGATCCCGATGCGGCTGTGCGCATATATCAACATCAGATCAAGGCGTTGCCGTCTTTGAACCGGCAATTGCTGCTGTACATCCTAGACTTGCTCGCAGTCTTTGCCGCCAAGGCTGATGTTAACAAGATGACAACCTCCAATTTGGCTGCCATCTTCCAGCCCGGACTGCTCTCACATCCGCAGCACGATATGTCTCCACAAGATTATCGTCTGAGCCAGGACGTGCTCATCTTTCTCATCGACAACCAGGATCACTTCTTAATTGGTATGGAAGGCACAGCTGTCGATGAAGGTACCGTTAAGCACATTGAAAGCGGGCCTTCTACCCCACAGGCAAGGACACCCACCACACCCCGCAATAGTTCTGGCATCGGGCGATCGGCTTCGACCACTTCGAGCGCTGGTGCAGAAAGCCTTCGCATGTATGGCGGCGTCCGCAGGAATGTATCCACGTCTTCGAAGCGTTCACGACACTCGCCCGCTGTTCCCAGCCCAATCGCACCATCATTCGTCTCGACCACGACCTCTGGAGTGCACCGAAGCAACACGCTGCCCTCAAAGCGCTCCCCGGGGCTTGGGAGTCCCCGCTTCCCTGCTGCAAAGCAAATCGGCCCTGAAGAGACCAAGAGCCCTCTTTCGTCTCCCATGCCCCCAGAGATTGCTGATGTTCCTGAGAATGTTGCCCCACAGCAGGAGATGGAGTTGCCTATACGAACGAAGGAAGCCCCACAGGCGGTCGCACCCGCAGCGGAGCAAATACCAGCCACACAGCCTGCCGATCAGGAACTGCCACCGCCACAACGTGCGCAGACCATGCCACCGAACAAGATCGAGATGCCGGTCCCATACCAACCCTTCCCCCAACAGGGAATGGCTATGCAATCGGCAGAGCCTTCACAAAATAGATCGGCGGTTACACCTGCCACCCACAACATGCCAGGCGGGTTCCCCCTGCCGTCTCCGGGCGTCATTCCACCGAGTCAGCCCACTACTCCGAACGTCGTCGCCCAGTCGGCCCAGAACCTGTTACCTTCAAGGTCCACTACTCCCGGTCCGCGTAGTCCTCAGCGTAGTCCTCGTCACACGCCAACGCGTGAGCGGTCAGAGTTCTTGGAAGGGCCTGTGGACTCAGGTCCGTCAATTGAGATGACTCCTGCTGTTCGTACGTTTACCCAAATTCTAGCCAAGGTCGCGGCATCCCCTCCCAACGAGTCCAAGGAAGCGAAAGACGGACGGAAACCGAACAAACTTCAGAAGAAGAGGTTGCCGAACAGTATCAGCCAGAGTACGCATAGCTCTACGCACTCTCTTGGTGGCAGCGATTCAGGGTTTGGTGGTCAATTTTCTCATGGACCTCCTTCGCCGCTGCAGCCACCCTCGCTTCCCTTTGCCCATGGCCAGTCTCACGCAAACAACTCTAGAGAGGTTTTGCAAGACACGGGCTCCTCGCGGGCCTCCGGGAACACACTCAAACCTAGCATGTCGCCTTCTGCTAGTTTCAGATCTCATTCAACAGCAACAGAATACTCGGAGAACGAGCAACTGGAAGAACAACCAAGAGAGGAGAAGCGCAGTTTTTGGAAAGGCCACAGGCGAGGAGAAAGCAAGGCAACGCCGACAGCAAGTCAGACAGATCTCCACGGTTCAGTACCTGGCGCCGACAAGAGTATGAGCTCGTTCGCCAGCAGTTCTGGATGGACAGGAGGAGGGCGCCGAAGTGGGCAGTACGAGTCGAATCACGGCTCGGAAACGTCGATGCTATTCGGCAGCAGTCCCCCTGATCACGACAAATCCGACAAGAAAGGTGCATTCGACTGGTTCCACAAGCGCAGACAGGATCACAAAGAACGTTTAGATAGGAGAGAAAGAGCCAAGAGTCCACCGGGCAGCTCGAGTCATCTCCCTTCTCCACAGAACATGATGAATCCACAAGAATCCTTCGCCGTTCGTGGACGAGCACCGGATGTGCCACCACCAGTGGAAGAGCCGCAACCTAAAGCAGACAAATCCAGCGACGTCACGCCTACCGGGATGAGTCCAACACCCCCGAATGTACCTACACCGGGAAGCCCGAAACCCAGGATGAGTCCTGCCATGGCTCTACGGACAGATCTCCCAGCTGCACTGACTGAACCCCGATCAGTTGCGCGATCTCCGGACAGGAATTCCAGGTCACCTGTCACTACAACGCCTCCTGTGCAGCCATTCGCTAAAGCACCCTCACCTCTAAATGTCGACAGTACGCAGCAGGTAGAAGCTGGCGCAGCGACCCAAGCTGAGGCTTCAGCAACTACCTCGGAATCTGTCCAGCCAGTGTCAACACCCTCAGGGCCTCTTCATTCTTCCTCCAACTCGACTACTACTGTCACTCCTCAGACGGTCAACCGGGAGACAAATTCTGATGCATCGCCCTCTGATGGTCAGTCGTCACCTCCTTTCGTCCCAAGAGGCGAGCCAGCGCCTTAGAGACCGCGGTGGTCGCTGTCGACCTCAATGACGTACGAGCATGAGTTCGGAAGGAGATGTAGGAGTTCAGGGTGTTCATGGATTGAGCTTGATGGGTAGAGTAGTGCACAGCACCCTTGGCAGTCTATGATGGGCCGAAGAAAAAAGTGTATGTGGCATGGGAGATTTTGCATACGGCATATTTGCCATGAAACGATGAAGCGTGCTAGCGAGCATTCTCTGAGCGTTGCGATGATGCATAGCGTTGTGGCATATATCAATGATGATTCATTCTCATTCTTCTTTATCACTGTGTACTTGTGCCAGAGCTTCGAATCATTTGAAATGTGGTGAAAGTAGGGAAAAGCAATTCTGGTGAAGATTGAACATGTTCGGCAAAACCATGTATACATAACAGCTAAAGAGCAACAGTAGTTGTATTGCAAAATACCCCACAAGTTGATTAGTACAGTTGAAAAAGCAACGTTACATGTTGAGTAGTTGAGTGCCGACACCGTCCAACGACCGCGCTGCCGTCTCTGCCGAAGTCCGCGTCAATCCCTCAACATAAGCACAAATAGCTATAGCGTCGTGGCAACATACACATAGACTCGTAGCGCGATGTGCCGACATGTCTAGATTGTGCGTCTGCGTCGTTGCATTCTCAGTATCCCCACCAGTGAGATGCATCTAGGCCGAGTCCCGCAATACGCGTTTGGTGTTCTGAGGTGTTCTGATCTACTAGTCTGGATTCTGAATGCGCAGTCTCACTGGTCTTGCTCCCCAGCTCGACGCTAGCCAGCCTGCGTTCCAATCATGCCCTGTCTCTAATTAAAAATAGATCACGCCTGCTGGCAGCGGAGCGGAGTTGCAAATGTGTGAGATACGCGTTTGTTAGTGGATGGTGGACAGACAGGTGTGTGAGATACGAGGAGAGCGAGAACACGTCTTGCTTGCAACACGAGGGAAAGGAAAAGCAAACCGCAATTCCACAGGCAATACTTCTGGACCAAGAACTGGTAGTTGGAAGATTGCGATGACGATGCCATTGCAATGCACACATCGCAGCGACTACCAACACGTCGAGTGCTCCGTGAAAGCCTCAGCAGGGTTTCAACATGCGAACAGAGCGACACTTGTTCCCCCGGCGGACCGCGGGCAAGCTATCGTCGGGTTGAACGTTCCAGTTCGTCTCGCCGGTGGCTCGGTCCATGCATGACGTTCTGGCTTGCGCCAAGCGAGGTCGCTGGTGCGGAAAAGGCTCCAGGCTCCTACCGTTTCTGCAGTTGCAGGGGGCGTTGCATATACCGACCCCGAGGTTTACGTGCCAACTTTTTTTGGTTCGTGTTTCAAGGCCGAGGTTTCGATGGCACAATCGTCTGAAGTATTGATCGGTTGCGCTGCGATGGGAAGGGCTGGTGTGAAGATGTTTGGAACTCGGCGTGCGCGAACATCTATTAGAACTGCAAATAGTTCCAGTTCAGTGGATTACTGGAGCATGATCTTCAGCGGAAAATCGGGATGCTGAAGCTTGGCTTGTTTAGGGCGTGGTCAAGAGGCGAAAGTGACGATGGGATCCATGACAAACAGCGGGTCCAAACCTCGTGTTTCTGTCAAGTAAGACGCACCTAGCGGCACCTGTACCAGCAGCGCCTTACCCAAAGATGTCTGGTGCTCAACTCGTACAGTAACCGTATCGCCTTCTGCCTTAAGGACTGATCTGCCGTTTCTCCTCATCACTATCACACGCTTCCAACGCCTTTTTTACCGACTTTACGGTTACGACTCCGCTTGTTTCGACTGACTCTTGCGAAGACCACACTCGTTGTTGAGATCACCCCGAACGACCAAACGAATAATTACGCTCGCTTTCTTTTCCTCGTCGGCAAAAAGAAACGAGAGCGTTGAACATTAGAAGTCTACAGGCTATCGATTCTCGGGCTGTGGCGTCAGACACCTGCAACCCAGCCACTCGGAAGCGACAGATTCTGTGTAAGCCTGCTCTCCAGTCCGCGACGTCTTCGCAATCACATCAGCCCATTGCGCTTTTGACTTCTTTTCTTGTACACAATTTACGGCCTTGATTCCAGTCATGACGACCTGCTAACACGCTTGTCGCAGTTTCTGTTCTTCTTCGCTGAGAATCCACCTTCGCTTTCGTTCCGCACGCCGATTCCACCACGATGCGTTCCTTCTGCCAGCTGGCCGTTTTGGCCCTGCCATTGTTCAGCACTGCCGTTGCGGCTTCACCAAACAAGCGAGACGACCACCCAAAGACCATCTATGCGACTGCACAGGAAGCGTTCCAGGACTTGTTGAACGCGCTGCCAGAGGAATCTCTACAAGCAGCATTGAGCGGACTGAAGGACTTCAAGAATGGCGTGTTTGAGTCGCACCACCGCGGTGTCGAACATGTCCACGAGAACAACCCAGCGCTCGCGACAAAGCTCATTGTCGACGCTGTCAACGACCTGAAGAAGAGGCAGGCGCCGGGCAATGGCACGGCTTCCGCCACTGAAGCTTCAACCCCACAACAGACAACCGAGGACGCGCCTTCATCACAGGCGAGCGAGGCTCCTCCACCAGCAGTCGAGACCACCTTAACGCAGGTTCAGACTCAACAGGGCACCACAGTCACCCAAGTACAGACCCAAACACAGCAGCAGACTCAACAAACACAACAAACACAACAAACACAACAAACCGAACAGCCCCAACAGTCGCAGCAACCCTCGGACGACGCACCCCCCTCCACCGTCACCAACACACAACAACAAACCACCACCCAACAAGCCACCACCACCGTCCGCCAAACCACCACCCAACGCCCCGCCATCATCCCCGTCGAAGCCACCATAACCGAAGACGGCACAACCATCGTCCGCACCACACGCGTCCTCTCCGAAGTAACCGCCTCCGTCCCCGTAACCCTCGTCCGCACAAACTCCCAAGGCAGCACCGTCACCCAAACCGAGAACCGGCCCGCCGTAATCCGCACAACCACCGATTCCGCAGGCCGCACAACGGTTACCACGTCTGCGGCTGACTACGCGCCTACCGCTGGTGAAGTACAAACTGCGACGGATGAGGCGGGAAGCACGTTTTTGACTACGTATACGCCTGGCGGTGGGCTCGTTAGCAGCATCAAGTTGATTACGACGACGGATGCTGAGGGGCGGCCGAGCACGATGACGAGTTATACGTTTGTGGATCCGATTCAGGCGACGCAGGCGAGTGGGGGTGATGGTGGGGATTCGACGGAGCAGCCGAGTGTGCAGACGGGTGCGGCGGGTGTGAATGGCGTGCCGTTTGCTGGAGCTGTGGGCTTGGGCGCTATGGCTTTTTTCTTTTAGATCAAGGCGAGCGAGCAAGTCACACGGCCTGTTTCATCTTATCAGCATGAGGAAGAATGAGAATGGGAAGATGAAGATGAAGATGAAGATGGAAAAGAGGGTATATATAACGAGAAACACGACTGCTTTGCATTTTCAGGCTTTTTTACTATCTTTGTTTGTATATTAGCGACGTCGCTCCTTTTTTGTTCGGTTCGATTGGTTTGGAAGATACCCGATACACGCTCCTTTATGATTTATATATATACGGTGGATGGATTTGCAGTTTGAGTTTGTAGTTGGAAAGGGGAAACGGTGTGCATATATGGTGTTTGGTGGGACGGAATCGGATGGGCGACTGGGTTAATAGTTTAGCATACATACACGGAGCGGATTATTGCTCTTTACTATCCTTCGGTATATATAATACTACGATACAGTTTCTAGGAAGATATGATTGGTGTGGATGCTGCGAGTTTTGTAACAGACGTAGAGCGGCATATTTGGAAGGTATGGCAGAGTGTCCACAGTGTGAGATGTATGAATCGGAAGTGCTGGAATGCATATGTTTATAGATTCTGATCTGAAATAGCTACAGAAAGAGAAGATATCGAGGGGTATTGATGTTAAATCAAACGCCAAGTGTGCCATGCTCAATCGCCCCATCCTACGTTTTCTCCCGTCCGTCCAGCTCTACGCTAGAGATCCAGGATAACATGTCCAAAGACCATATCCTCCAATCACCTTATGTATGATACAAACTCACCAACCATCTCCAATCGAATCCCAGCCCGCCTGCCTCAACGCGCCTTAGTAGCAATAAAATACTCCACACTCTCCCCCGCCCAACTAACGCTATTCGTCCCACTCTCAAACCTCTCCTCATCGAACAGTCCAGCAATACTCTGTTCGTTCCTAACCCCCTGTTTAGCACCCCCGCCAAAACTCTCCAAACTAACGACTTTACAACCCTGTTTCAAATCAAGAAACTTCTGCAACAGCAGATTATTCAGCGTCTCGCCAAACACCTTGTTGTTGACCAGCACAACGTCAGCGCGGCGGAGAACAGCGTCAATCTCAGGGCTTTCGAGGAAATCGCCCTCGATGAGCTCGATGCGGGGGAGGGCTATGTTCCACAGCTTCGCCCGCGCTTTGAGTTCAGAGGCTTGTTCTGTGCCGAGGGAGGCGGCGAGCTTCATCTTTTCGATGCCCCAGCTTTCGGCGCCGGTTTGGAGGGCGGACTGCAGGACGACGTTGCCGACGCCGGAGCCGAGGTCGACGAAGGTGTGGGTGGAGTTTAGGCCGGTTTGGGCGAAGATTTTGTGGACGAAGGGCGTCAGGAGTTCGCCGTAGGTTGTTTCTTTGCCTTCGACTTTGCGGAGGCGGTGGGCGTGCGGGGAGACGATGCGGTTGTAGCTTTGGGCGGTGATGCGTTTGACGAGGCTGAGGGGGATGGCGTGCATGTCGTCGAGGATGCGGGGTATCGTGCCGTTGGCGTATTGGTCTTTGATGAGCTTGTTGAACTTGGCGAGTTCTTGCTTGAAGAGTTCGGGGTCGTCTTTGGTTACGGCGCGCTTGAGCAGACGGACGGTGCCTTCGGCGTCGGAGGAGAGCTCGTTGGCGAGATCGGGCGGGAGGTAGTGCTGGATGATTTCCTCTATGCTGAAGTAAATGTCTTCCAGTGGACTGTACTCCTCGTCCACCTCTTTCCGGGCTACGGCCTCGAACTTTTCTGGTCGTGACAGGCTGGGGTACTGGAGTTCGACGGTGAACTTCTTCTCGCTACCGGGGAATGCGGACTTGTAGGCTTTCGCCCCATCGTCTTTCGTCATCTCGAAGCCGTGCTTCAGAGTGCTCTTCCCCGACACGGCCTTTTTCTTTCTAAATGCGGCGTTTTCTTGCGCCATCTTCATCATATCCGACGCGCCATTTGATGTGCCGTTCGCAGTTCCACTCGATGTGCCGTTGACGCCATTCGATTTCGCTTTGGCATCAGGCTCTACTATCCGTATACGTCGCTTCAAGTCCGGCTCGAGTGCGCGGTTCAGACTCATCGGCTCAGTGCTACTACTCGCTGGCCGCGTCTTCCGTCGCTTGACGCCCAGCCGGCTGGTATCCTCATCCTCGCTCGACTCATCGCTGCTGGCCCATTGCGGCGTGTCGGTGCCTTTACGCTTGTTGGTCTCGACACGCGACACGGAAACCGACTTGCGCGCGGGTTCCCGCGAGACTGTTTGCGAGCGCGGCGTGGACTGGTATCGGTTCGCTGGCGGGCCGGATGCGCTGTAGCTGCGAGTGCCGTTGCCGGGTCTCGCGTGCGGCGATGGTGAGGGGTTCGCTGTGGGGGCGGGCGCCTTCTTGACGAGGACGGTTCTCGTTTTGATCTTGGGTTTTCCGGGGACGAACATGACGGCAGCGCCAAGTTAAAGTTTGTAGGTGAAAGCAGGGTTGTATGCAGAAGAAAAAAACGGGGGATGAAACGCGGCGGGCCGGTGCAGATGTGAAGGAGCGTGTGGCCAAGGGCAGCCGGCAGTGAAAAGAGAAGGACGTCGAAGGGAAGGCAGCAGGCCGGTCAGCCAATACGGAGGGAGTCGCACGCGCAATGGACGAGATACGTGACCCAGCGACGCCCCGAGCCTGTACGCCACTGCACGTCTTACCGGGATCGTCTCGCCTATCCGTCTTGGCGCCGTCCCTGCTTCTGTCTACCGACCTGACCTCGCATCACTCACGCCAAGTATCATCAAAGGCCCGATATCGTCAATCTGGATAGTCGATTCAAAGACAGCTTCAATTGTAGTGGTGCTCTCACTCAATTACCGCCTTAGCACAGCCCACGCCACCATTCATTCAACGGATTGTTCGTGGACATCTGACTATTAGTAATCAACACCGCCAGCTTGACATACTAAAGTCGTATGACACGACCCTCCTATCACCCACCGCATTGAAGTATTCTGTATCAAGATCATGAGTTATCAACAGCGTAGTCTTCAATATGTAGAATATCAGCCAGCCAGGCCTTGTGTCTTCATGCCAGCCCTTCACAGTAGTCTCATGAACAAGGTAAAAGTTCAGCCTCACCACAATCATTCTCCAACCTCATCTATTGCGCCATTGCTCATTGTTTTGACATTCTCTCGTTATCTTGCTATTGTTATCTGCTGTTCTTGAACAAAAGTCGATCAGCTGAAGAGTCGAAAGCAGCTCTTCGCCTTATGCGTACTATCACTGGTGAACTCGTGGTCTGCGGTAATAGCTCAGATGTCCTAGAAGTCAGCCGAGGGGCCTTGGCAGAGAATTATGTGGACTCTGAAGACATGATCCCAACGGGTACCTTCACGTTGGGTTTACTGGCCGATGCGTCGATCGCACTTCGAAGAGAAGGCAGCGCGCTAGAGATAGTGGACGAAGACTCATGCTCAGACTTCTTGGGTCCCATCCCCCGAGCACGACGCCACGCCCTAGACCCCAGCACCTCATCATCCGTCAAAGCCTTCCTCGCGCCCCAGACAGACTCCCGCATCCCCCACGGCCCAGCCAACCAACCCCCAACCGACAAACTCCTCAAAACCGTCCCTACATCCCTCCGCAACCGCGCTAAATCGCTTCACGAACCTCAACCCCTGCCCTTCCGCTGGTTCCTCCCACCCAACGCGCGTTTCCGCATCGGCGACCCGGAAGCCTTTGCTGCCCTGCAGGTCAAGAATATAGAATGGTATGTAACTACCGGCTTACTAGTCGAAGACTTCACGGGTCTACGCTGGAACGCAGGAAGCTACACGTATCTTCTGTACTGGCATGTAGAAGGTATGCCAACACCTGACGGGGTTGCGGATGCAGGACGGAAGTGGTTGAGTATCAACCCAGGTTTCATGCGCGATTGGCAGAAGGAGAAGTGGGAGAGGGAGTTTGGGGATGAGGTGTTGGTTGTGGAAGATGAGCCTGCGACGCCGATTGTTGAGGGAGAGGATTTGGGGGCGATTGAAGTGGGTAATCCGGTTGGGAAGGTGGGTAATCGGCCGCCTACGCCGAGTCGAGAGAGGTGTCTTCTTCCGGGGTCTAAGAGCGCACTGAGGAGTAGCTGTCAGAGTAGACCGGTGTCTCCCTCGCCGTCACTGGTGTCTGATACTGGGTCTGAGTCGCCAAGGAGAGAGAAAAAGGTAAGATTGCTGAGGGAGAAGCGGAAGAGGATTGTGATGTGGGAAGCTGATGATGATTACGATGTGCCGGCAGCAGAGGAAGGTAAGTTTGTTGAGACGATGGTGGATGAGGTGGACACTCTGAGTGATAATGAGGGGAGGACGGCGAGGAATTGGGGATGATGTGATGAAGGAGATGGGAGAGAGAAGGCTTTCCTTGGATGTATGGCTAAAAGCACTAATTGCAATAATACCGTCGATATTCTCTGCCATTGGATCAAATATGGAAAGTGATACTGTTGAACACAGGTTCGCTGTTGAGCGAAAGCATTTCGCAACTCCATGTATTTTGGCGGTGGCCTATCTCCAAGGCACACGTGCTGCAAGTCGCACATTAAACGCCTACTAATAATCATACATCCTAGAAGAAAACCCTCCCAACCGATCAGCGACGTCGGTCCCGGCTACGGCTCCTCGCACTGCGACTCCTCCGCCTACGTCTATCCCTATCATCACGTCCCCTATCTCTGCTACGCTCGCGACTCCTCTCCCTAGGCTTGCGCTCGCGCTCTCGATCTTTATCCTCGGCCTCAGCAGCGGGAGCACCGCCAGGTTGATAGCAGTCAGACTCCAAACGCCTACTACCACGGTCTCTACCGCCGTCCCAGCGATCATAGTCTCGGGCCCTGTAGCCACGCGCACGATCACGGCTATCATCACGCTTGCGAGGCCGACTGTCGTCGCGCTTGCGGTCACGGCTGTCTTCACGCTTCCGAGCACTGCCACTGCCAGCACCTCCACCGCCACCGGGTACATAACGGTCGATGTTCTCGGGGCTTCTGGAGCGACGGCGGCGCCCGGATGCAGGCGTTCTCTCGCGCTCACGTCGGCCACCTCGTGAGCGAGAACGTTCTCTTTCTCTGCGACGCTCGTCTCGGGGTGGCGACGGACTGCGCGTTTCATAGCGTGACTTGCGGCGGCTGGTGTGAGTGTCTCGTGAGCGACTGCGACTCTCGCGACGGGACGGTTTCTCATCTCGGTCGTCGCGATCACGTCGTCGACCGTCATTTGAGGGCCTGTAGGAGTGTCTGTCATCCTCGCGTCGGGAACGGCGGTCGTCTTCGAAGCGCGAGCCACGCCTGTCGTACCGACTTCCGCGGGACTGCGATCGGTTTCTGCTACGCTCTCTTGTGCTGCGCGCGACACTGGGGGATCTGCCACGCTTCGAAGGCAACTCAGGTCGCTTGTCATCCCATCGGCCCTTGGACGCCTCTGTTGCGGATGGGGCATCTGTCATAGTGGTATCCTCATCCTTCGCAGCCGCATTTGGCGTACCTGGAGCGGGGGACTTTGCATCTTTGCTGGGTGACCTTTCAGGTCTGCTGTCAAGCCTGGCCAGTCGAGCCTGCACGGGATCGCGGGGCACGAGCGACTTGGGAGGCTGAGCTTTTCGCATAGGTGGTTCCAGTGATTCTGATCGCGGAAGCAGAGGCCTCCGTTGTCGTGAATTCTTCATCTGCTCACTTTCCTGTAGCAGGAGCGCCAATGCCGTCTCATCGTCAACTTTGATGTCTTCAGGCTTGATCGACAGACGGCGTTCAGGCGACCTGGTCTTTGTCCTGCTCCTTCGCCTGCTCCTGTCTCGTCCACGCCGGTCCCTTTCACGATCGGGAGTCCTGCTACGGCCACGACCACTGCGATGGCGACCACCGCGATCTCGGTCATGCTCCTCTTGTAGTCGGCGCTCTCGCTCAGCGTCTTCTTCGCGGATCTTCTTGAGACGGGCTTCTCGGCTCTTCTCATGCTCCTCTCGCTCCTTCTCGCGGCGTAGACGCTCCTCTTCTCTCTCCTTGTCAATTCTCTCTCGGTCCTTGCGTCGGCGCTCTTCGTCTTCCTTGTCGCGCTCTTCACGCTCCTTGCGCCTGCGCTCCTTCTCCTCTTGCCGCGCCTTCTCACGGGCTTCGTCCTCTTCCTTCTCGCGGCGCTTGCGCTCTTCCTTCTTTGCCCTCTCTTCACGTTCTCTCTCGCGCTCTGCCTCCAACTCCTTTTCTCGCCGTACCTCACGCTTTTCTCGGCGAGCGTCTGCTTCTTTGGCCCACTCCTCTTCGCTCTTGCTGCCTCGTTTCTCCTCTTCAGCAGCGGCCTCAGCGCCTATCTCGGCAATGCGGTACTCGCGCATTTTCGGTACGCCGTGCTCATCAATCAGTTTGTCCAGCAGAGTATTGACCGTGTTCATAATGTTGCCGTAGATGTCGCTGCGCTCGCCCGCGCCTTCTATAAGTGTAGTCGCCATGCGGGGATCCTTGGACAGCAGCGAGGGATTACGGTCGGTTTCGCGGTCGACGAGCTCCTTGAGGGCGGCTTGCAGTTCATCCTTAGCAGGCTGGCACGCGAAGGTTAGCCTAGCATATAGTAATAATCAATCGTTGGCCACCTACTCCTGACACGTATTGCTTCATCAAGTCTCTGCGTATGTCGTCGTATGCGCCCTTCTTACGGAACATGTGCACCAGGCTGTCGATGGCCGATCGCTTTGCCTGGGAAAGCGGGAGTTCCGATGGCCTCAACTTTTTGCGCATCGTCGCAGCTCCATCGCTTTCACTTGGGCGCTTGCGGCCGACTTCCGCCATGGTTGAGTTTACGTGATTGCGATCAGTCGTTTTGTGTCGTTTGTCTTGCAGCCCGGCGCATCAAGACGGGGGTGGGAAAGGCTGGCGAGCAGCGGATGACGTAGGGGGCTAAGCTGGTACGCCAGCTCAAAATGGCAATAGTGAATGGATTGTAGAGCGAAAGCTAAACAGTGAGCGACAATATCAGGAGAGGCGCGAAAGCGGCATTGTCGCGGAGGTGAGGTCGGCGGACCTTGGTTCCGCATCCGCGTGGGTGGTTCGTTCTTGGCGTTCCGGAGCTTGACGATGGAGCATCGCAGCCCAGAAACCCAGTACTGGTACAGCGGTGACAACGCGCCCTCACGACACCCGCCCCGATTGCTGCTGCAGCACAGAAGGAGTCTTCTACACCGACACAACTACCACGACTACACCCGCTCACCATGGTCCACAAGATCCTCTTCTGGAGCGGTTTCGGTATGTCCCCAACCGCCCGCGCACACCCCAAGGGCCTCTACTGACGACATATACCAGGCGTTGCCGCCCGGCTATGGCAACTCGGCATTGAGATGCGCCCGCTCTTCAACAAGGAATCCCTCTGGGTCTACCCTCTCTACGCCGGCGCCGGTGGCAGCTTCGGCTACTGGCTCACTGGCGTTGAGAACCGCCAATTCCGCCTTCTAGCCGACCGACGAGACGCTCTACTCGAGAAGCGAGCGCGGAGGAAGGAGCGCGAGGAGGCCGCTGGTACTTCTTAGGCGGCCGTGGCCTGCAATGGCAAGAGACAGTGGTGTGAGGGGTAGGGGAAGCTGAGATGGGCACCATAAATCCGTCCAGAGCGTCATCTCGACTACAATGGGACGAGACTGTCATGCGCTACTTCCAGCGTCCATGGCGAGCGTATCTGGGCATGCAATATGAGCGGGGTTGGATGCATTGAGAGCAGCCTCTACCACATCTTGGCTGGCAACTCGTTCTGTACAAATTTCATTTCAAACCAACTACAAATGCAAAATCTCCATGAAACCCCTCGTGCCAAATTGTGCTCAAAATGCGAGATATTGCCTAGTCGCGTAACGCGTGACACCCTAATAGATTAGTGCATGACTCCTGCCTCTGCTATTCTGAGCTCACGGAAGGACATCCACCTTTGCGAACACCCTGTCAACATCACCATGACTTGATAAACCCGCGCCACGACCCATGTGGTCAACCATCATTGTACGCATCTCGTCATGTCTGCCGAGAACTTCCTTTCGCCCAACGGCGACCACGCAACGCCGTCTTCGCCGATGTCCAACGGCAACCTTAAAAGCAAAGGCATCGTCGTGTTCTCGGGCGGAAGCGCTGCAAACAATCTAGTCGACGTGTTCAAGAAAGTCAGAGAAGACAAGAGATGTCCGCTGAGCTATGTCATCCCTATCAGTGACAACGGCGGCAGCTCGTCTGAGCTGATACGCGTCTTCGGAGGACCAGGTATGCGCCGTCCGAGGCAGGAACGACACAACGTTGACACTTGCAGGTATCGGTGATGTGAGAAGTACGCGAATATTCTTCGAGAACAATGATCTAGATGTTAACCTTTCTAGGTCGTCTTGTTCGCCTAATCCCGGATGACCCCGATCACGATGACAGCGAGAAAGCAGCTATCAAGACCTTCTTCAACCATAGACTGCCCAAAGAACGGTCTTCGGCCCGAGATGAATGGCTGCAGATTGTAGAGGCTGAGCATGCACTCTGGACGAATATCTCGACGGCGAAGAAAGAGCTCATACGATCGATACTCAATGTTGTCGCATACGAGATTGTCAAGCGTCGCCGGCCCTCATCGAGTTTCGACTTCTCAGGTGCAAGTATCGGTAACTTGTTTCTCACTGGGTATGTGATTGATGCACTACAGCATTGTGCTTTTCCCAACCATATGATCGATCAATTCCCGATTTCGTTGTTTCCGTCACGTTTATCATCGCGTATCTTCTTCAGCACCTACCCGCATCAAACTTCTCGAAACTGACAGCTCTAGTGCTCGACTCTTCACTGGCTCATTTGAGTCAGCCATCTATCTACTCTCCAGCATCTGTTCTGTGCCCAGTCACACATCAGTCTTACCGGCGATCAACACCAACTTCACGCACCACATCTCAGTCAGCCTCGCAAACGGCGACACCATCACCGGCCAGAACTCCATCTCCCACCCTTCTATATCAACAGCCCTGGTATCGGGAGGTGCACCAATAATCGATGAGACCGAACAGCACGATCGAATCGAGGATGCCAATTTACCCGGATCTTTACCCACTCTTCGGAAGCAGTACATTACCTTCTCTAAAGCGGACGAGGAGGAGCTGCCAGCCAGAATCGAAAGGTTGTGGTATATCAATCCCTATGGCCAGGAGATCCGACTTTCCGCGAACCCAACGGTTCTCAATGCATTGAACGACGCGCAGGCCGTGATATACAGCATCGGCTCGCTCTACACATCCATAATCCCCTCATTAGTCCTCAAGGGTATCGGCGAAGCCATCAGCAACCCCGCAATCCGCTATAAGATCCTCATCCTCAATTCGACCATCGATCGCGAGACAGGACCGTCGTCCAACCCCTACTCCGCCCTTGATTTCGTAGCCGCTATCGCAAAAGCATGCGAAGACTCCAAGAGCGTATTTGGGCCTCTGGACAAGAGTCAATACAAGAAGTATGTGACGCACATTATACATCTCCAAGGGCCAGGGACGCCGGCAGTCGATCGAGACGAGCTTAAGAGTATTGGCATTGAGCCTATTCGCGTCTATGGGAAGAAACATGAAGGCGAGAACTTTGTTAGGTACGATGGTACGGCTTTGATTCAGGCGCTTGAGGTTACGATGGGGAAGAGGGATCCGAGGATGCCTAGTCGGAGGAATACGCTGGAAGGGCCGGCGAGGTGAATGGGGATTCTCTTCCCATCATATTTCGAATCCAGTCCTGCTTCCTTCCATATTACGTTGTAGGTTGTGCTCTTATTGCCTTATTCTTGCCAACGGCAACACTTGCCGTACGCCCCACCTCGGTCGCTAAGAACGAAGACCAAGCGCCTCTAGCTTAATTGCTGCCTGCGCTCTCGCCTTCTAGCGCCAAGTATAAAGTCGTTCACGTACGCATTGCTATGTCCATTTCTCGCCAGCTTCTGTCACGCTGCCCAGAACTTCAAACCTAACCCTCATTCTCCCACAATGCTAATTCAAACCCCCGTTCCCGATGAACACAAGAGCATCATGAACCATGACGCATTCGACCGGCTCTACTGGTCCGTTCTAGACCCAGCAGGCATATCAAGCGTGCAAGTCGCCGAAGACAACGAAGACGCTTCCCCATCTTCCAGAGCCTACCTACCCAACCACCCCATCGCCCTAGAACCAGCAACAATAACCAACGCTAACAAACTCATCTTCACCGCAAAGGACCTCGGTGTACACGCCAGTGAATGCCACATGTGGAGCGACGGCTTCGAAGAACCAGAAGACGGGGTTGAGAACCTAGAAGATGCCTGGAACTACTTCGTCATCGAGACGGAAGATGGCAGCCCGCTGCTCATCCGCGACGTAGTGAACCAGTTCCACGCCTGGGCAAATCGCCCCTTTATCGAAGACAAGATCCGGGAGTCGCTACTTTATTTGTACAACTCATGCAGCGACAACTCAAGCCATGTACCGAAGGGTGTGAAGATATTCTTGGAGTCGGTGGAACAGTATGGGAGTTACGAAGACGCGTGTGCTCCTGTTGTCTACATGAACTTGTGGGTGGAGGGGTATGAAAATAAGGATGCGCAATACTTTTGGAAGTCGCGTGTTAATCCTCGGAAGTACTCGGTGGAGTAATCCATTTCCGACTGCTTGAGTGGGTGCCATCGTGGCCTTTGTTGGTTTTATATGTGCCAAGCAGGTATCTCTGTACTAAGTGCAGATCCTTCTCTTTCGGGTCGCCCCTTCTTCCCGTCCCTCTGTCGTGCCACTCCAGACTGACCTATGATGCATCGCAATCTACACGGCTATAGCCTCCTCGCAATGTTAGGGACGCAAGTGTTCCCGTTGAAAGTGCATATATCTGGCTGCTAGCCCCATAACCTTTACCAGCTTTCTCATAGCGCAGACCTTAACAACTCCATCATCACTCAACTGTCATGGGCTCCATATTCTCGTCAGTCAATTCACCCGAGTCTTCGAAGCCAGACTCTCGACCTCATTATGATGGCCCGAATCGATACCCGTATGTGCGTAACGGCCAGCTTGTCCCCGTCGAAGCGAATCCCACCATTTGGTACGAGAGCTTGTCTGAGGCTGCGGACTGCGTACAACACCAAGACAAGGACAAAGTCATCATATTCACCCCCATCTGCGATGAAGACAACGGCGAATATCCAGACCCCAGATCGAGGCATGGCTGGCCAATTAAACGCTTGCGAAAGGCGTACGAGCTGCTCGGTGGACCACACCCGCGCATCGTTCGGTGCGTATGATTCTGCTCGTGTACTTGGCCGCGCTCAATTGTTTAGGTATATCGGTGCGCTATACAGCACTTCGGGTGATGGTATAGTGATTGAGAAGCTGGAACCAGGCCAGCTCACGAGGGTTGAGGTGCCTGCGATGACAGTGCCTGTAGTTGCGCAAACGATGTCGCACGACGATAAGATTATGTTATCGCTGTATTACCGATGGGCGATACAGGCACTCTCCGCCTTCCGGTTCATTCATGCTAGATCCATGTGCATTGGGTTCTTCTCATCGCAACTCGTGTGGATACGCCCGGACTTCTCGCTCGCAGTGGGTGGATTCATCAGCGCCAGTGCACAGGAGATAGAGGATGAGCTCTGGAAAGATACTGAAGAAGACACTAAGGCGGCCCGACGAGAAGCTAACTTCATAGATGAAAATGGACGAGAGATAGAGAGCACCGCTAGCTGCGGTTGGGACGAGGGTGAGTGGGCAGCGGACGACATGATATATGATATGGTACATTATGAGGATCCTTTTGATGAAAGTTACTACACAGGAGGTGTACAAGGGAGTGTAAAGGCAGATCTGTGAGTATGCGCGAATCACGGTGTACGCACAAAAGATTACTGACCCTTGTCTTCGCACTCTAGCTTCTACTGGGCTACATTCGTCTGGCGACTCATGACGAACGACTTCACTGCTGTATCGCCATCGCGTCGTGGGCCTTTTCGTGGACTATGGGAGCCTGCGTGGCCCATGGAAGGAGGCTACAAAATCGAAGACTCGCCAAATATATCCAACATTATCGATGAGAGAGAACGGCGCAAGCTATTCCAACAGCTAGAGAGAGCTCGACTGGGACATGTCCTGGTTGGCGCTTGGAATAATCGATATGGCAACGTGGATGAGGTTGTTCGTGATATCGAGTTGGCAGCAGTCGAGGTGGGCATAACCATCTCTGGCGACGAGGTTGACATTGGTGAAAAGTGGGAGAATGTGTTCGAGTTCAAGGACGAGAAGCTGGGTTTCAAAGTTAGACCTGATTAGGACACGCTTGTTGGTTTTGAATGTGCCAAGCAGGCATCATTGGCACGGTTCACGAGGCGGAATGGCGCTTGCCTTAATCGGCGACACGTGGGTTGGTGTATATAGTACTCAATGTATCGCGATTTAGAACTTCCAGCATCTTTTCTCGTGCTGTCTAATGGGTTCAGCAATTTCATTCTTCAATGGGCCACAGCCTGAGGACGAAGAGCGCGCGGTTGGAAGACACACTATGTCGCTCAACCGTGTCTACCGTACCCCTACGCCCCTCGAAGCCAGCACGGAGCCAGGGGACACGAAGAACTGGTACTGTGATTTCTGGCGACATGTCTGTGCAGTGCCTCACAAAGATGGGAAGAGCATCATCATCTACGAACCTAAGGAGACGCAGCATCCGGATCCAAGGGTAAGACCAGAGTGGGCGAGCAAGCGGCTACGAAAAGCTTATGAACTTCTTGGAGAGGGCCATCCACGGATTGTTCGGTATGTGCAGCGAGGGGTTAGTACTGTGTTGACGTTAACGTTATGGTAGGCGTACCGGCCTTGTGAACAGCGACGCCGGCAACGGGGTGGTTGTCGAAAGATTAACACCAGGACCACACTGGGGTGATCTTCCTGCCATGACTTTGCCTGTTCCCAAACAGCCTTTAAGAGAGGACCGCATCATGTTGGCTTTGTATTACCGATGGGCTTTGCAATCACTGTCTGCCATTGCCTACTTCCACTCTCGCTCTGTATACCTGACGTTCTTCTCGTCAACTAACGTATGGCTGCGCTCTGACTATTCCCTTGCTATCGCGGGATTTATCAACGTCGACGGGCCAGAGCTTGATGCTGAGAGTAGGCGAGACGCTTGGAACGAGGCGAAGCGGAGCGAGAGACGAGAGCGAAGATACAGGGAATGGCATGATGCCGGGGCTCCTATCTCAGTATGTCCTGAGTATGGAAGTGAGGAAGAGAGCGAGGACGGGAGCGAACAAATACCAGAACTCTTCTCCTACCCTTGGGATACTTGTGAATGGGTAGGAGATGGTGGCGCGATACACTACGAAGAGTATTCCACCGAGCCCCCTGAGCAGTGTGGAAGCCATCGTGGGTCTTTGTAAGTATCATTACCCTCACATTCGTCGAGACATTTACAACGGGTTGCTAACTACATGATCGCGATAAAGGTTCTACTGGGCGACCTTTGTCTGGGAGCTCATGACGAATACCCAAACGGCCGAAGCGCATTGGAAACGGGGCATAGAGTGGGATCCGTTGTCTTCGCCTGAAGGCGGCCCATCAAAGCCAGGAAAAGATTGGCGTGATCAGCTCCAAGTGCTAGAAGAGGCTAGGCTTGGAAGTGTCTTACTCAAAGCCTGGAAGGGCGAATACGAAAGCGCAGAGCAAGCTGCCGAAGATGTCAGAAAGATTGCGGAGGATATGGGTATCAAGATCTTCAGCAGTGCGTCGGAAGTTGATGACGCTTGGACGAACGTATCCCAGCAGGATGAAGTTGATATCGGCGAGCCTTGGGAGGATGTTTTCGAACTAGACGAAGCCAAAGAGAGGTGGGGCGCTCGAACGCTTAGGTTCAAGCGGCAAGGCACGCATGTGAATTTGCCTGTGGCAGGATAGAAGGCAAGACCAGGGCCATAAGTCGGCCGTGCTTGTCGTTACGTATCGGGCGCGCACTTTATCCAGTATGCATCGTGTTCGAAGACCCCGTTCTGAGGCGAGAAATATCCGTATCCTCCTCGCTCATGGTCCTTCAGTACTCTTCATGCATGATTGCAAGCGAAGCAGGCAGTTGGTGGCGACAGGTAAACGAACCAGGCTGCCATCGTAATTTTCTGAGGCTCTGCAACGCTCGTTATGTGACACACCATGACACCCCCGCGCATGCATTACCTATCGCCCGACGGATCAAATTATCAAGAAACCTGTCTCTGGCTGCTGGAAGGTCATCCCAACGTGCTCTCATCGGATCGTCTAGTGTTGATCGCAAGCTGTCAATCACTGCTTCGGAGTGTGTAACCGAAAGCGTGATTAAGATCGTCCTGTAATGCCACGCCATCTTGCCTCTGCCGCGGCCTGCCGGATGTAAGAGCTTGGCTGTCGAAGGATCAGTCTGGCGGTCAAGGCAACGATACCAAGTCGGCGGAATGCTGCGTTCGTGCGGGGTGGGTAGCTAAGCCGTGATGCTCGCCCGTGTCTCAGATATGTACGTACCCGCAGATCGTACCAGCGAGATGCCGAGCCTCTCAAGTGCCGTGTGGCTCGGAGAGTAATTTCATACCGATCAAGATGTTTCGTGCTTCCGGCGTGCTTCAATCTGTTCATGGGCAGATTTATCGCTACCAAGTCTGGTGCAGGATTGCATCCTTGCTCAGGTGGCTGTTTGTGGGCGCATGATTTCTCGGTAGAACGCACTTGTGTGACTACTTGCTCGGGCCGGAGACTTGGTCATGCTCCTCAAAACGCAGGAGAGATGGTTCAAGCCGACAGATCCGGTCCGAGACTGATATGGAGGATTTTCATGATGGAAGTGCATGACCGAGGGCGTGTCTGCGTCCGGTGAGCGAAGATCTTGGAGCTTAATGATGTTGTATATCTATCGCGGCTACTCGTAAGAGCTGCAGTCGCTCTCGCCTATTAGAAACGGTTCTGGAACACGGTTGTGGTGTTGCAACCCAGACGTGCATAAGGCTGCGTGTCAAAGATGTCATCCAGCCGCGTATATGCATGTCATGCGCGGTGGATCCGGTGTGTTCGATAGGCTTCCAAATGCGATCAAGTCCGCGAGCTTCCGGCAAGAAGGACATTGGTCGGATAGAGAGCTGAAGATTGGAGGGCGGCACGAGGTGCATGGAAGGGCGTCGAACTGCAGCAAACAGGTCGACAGCAACTCGATGTGCAGTAGTAGATCGACGCTGCGCGAACGCGCGCTGAGCCGCACCGCAGAACGGTCTGAAGTCCATGTCGGAGTGTAGGTGGATCAAAATCGGATGGAAAGATCGAATCGCACTGCGATACACCAAAGGGCGCTGTGCCAGAAATGTTTGACATACGACACGCCCAGCAGTGATGCAAGCGGGGCTGAGTGGCATAAGTGCAGACACAGTTAAGGGGTTTACATGCCTATCACCAGGTACAACTACCAGTGACTGCAAAACTTCGGTGTAACCAGCGGGTTCTTACCTCGACTTGTGGGTGGTGATTGGATGCATTGGCCGAGCGGAACGAAGGGCAAGCAGGCGGGTTGGACGTCAGCAGGACGCTGTCTCAGCCATCGATAGTCGTTACTCAAAGAAAGAGTCCTCATCTTTCCCGTACACCTTGCGATGGTGGCTTGTAGTGGTCAGTTGCCTTCTTTTGGCTGGGTCGCGGCGAAAGGGGTGTTGAGCCATGCACGGACCAAAAGCGGGGTCATGACGCCCCGTTAGCGTGGTCAATCAATGATCGCTTCTTCCGCACCGGCACCGTGAACGTTTCTCCCACTTCGACGACTTCATCCATTGATTCAGCTCCACGGAGGGCAGGCTAACAAAGCAAAAGTTACATCAATCATTCGCGGCGAATCCCAACAATTGCAGCTGTAATGCATATGCGACCTTATCCAAACACCACCACCATCAGGCTGCATGCAACAACAGGCAGCCGCTATGAGTCCTCAAATATGCATGCGCATGGCTTATGCATATTTTATACGATCTTTAACTGGTCCGGTCAAAGTTGAGTCTCAAGACTTGTAGCAACGAAGCTATGCTGCGCGTTCACGCAAGAGGGCGGGGTTATTTGCCTGTTTGTCACCCTCAGCCTGGTGGCTTAGACCGGTGAGAGCCTTGATATCACCCTCAAGTGGGGCTTGCGAGTGCCCTTCAATACGACCAATTAACGCTTGTTTCATGTATATCCCGGAGAAACGACTGGATGTGGCTGTTGTACTCCTAGAGGGACCACAACCTCGCTTGCATCAACAAAGTGTTACTACTGCTCCGGGCAAAGATCAAGAGCTACAATCTTGCAGTATGACAAGAAATTTCCCAATCTATATCTTCGGTCAACGTCCTCCTGTTTCTGCCTTAGACTTTCTAGTTCGCCTTGTCATTCACTTCCCGTGTCTTCATCACATTGCTCTGCCTGTTTCGATCATCGGCATCAAGTCTCCAGTCACTTGAGCATCTAGCCATCGGCTATACTTCCTTCGTTGAAGATATCCCTCCCATAACCTCTACGAGTCATTCAATGGCGACTCCACAGCAGGCACAGTACCAGGGTCATGTACCCCATCAACATCAGAATGTCAGCCAACCACGACAAGTCCCGAATGGGCAGCAGCAGAGCTCTGGACAACAGCAGAACTTTGGACAGGCCCAGCAGAGGCCAGCTCAGTCCCAACAGCAACATCTAAACCCATACGCCAACTACGATCCCCAATTGGCCTCCTTCATCTTAGAGAAGCCGAGGAACGCCACTTCCTGGGAGGATGCCACACCTGAGCAGCAACACGTCGCACTCCAGGAACTCCACAGCGAACTGCACAAGTTTCGTCGAAACCATAATAACGTCAAGAAGGCGATGAACGAGATCCCTTCTCCAAACTGTCGCCGGATCATCAACGAGCTCGTTGAGGACCAGAACGTTGAGCTTGCGAGGTATAATAGAACTATCCAGTACAGAATCGCAAGCGTTGTAAACAAATGGCGCTCGGTCAACCGTCGCGAAAGGCAGCTGGTGCGTGTAGACATCATTCTGGAGACCGAACCTTCTGGGTTTAAAGAGCCTATGCAAGCGAGAGCTGTGGTCGGAGGTGCGAGCAATGGACCCCAAGATGCAAACAAGAACAAGCAACCAGGAAACCCGCAAGGTCAACAGTTCCCGAACCCCTCTAGCAACCCCGGCCAAAACATGCCACAGCAACAAAGACCTCCCCAACAGCAACCACAACATCCTGGTACGCAAAACTTCGGCCAGCATCCTTCAAACCCGGGCCACATGAACCCAATGGCAGGTCCTCCTGGAGGTCCTCCTCCTCCACCCCCGCCTCCGGGGATGCCTGCATCACACGACATGGGTCGTCCACCACCCCCACCGCATGGTGGAGCGGGCCCACCCATGCCGGGAGCGCCCATGCAGCATCCTCCGCCTCCTCATGGCCAACCCCATGGCCCGCCCCATGGTCAAATGCCAATGCCTGGTGCGTTTCCGGACCAGATGCATATGCCGCCAGTTGGCATGAGGCACGTCCCAGGCTTGAATTCTGATCACCTCAGGCATCACAAGAAACACCACAGGGTTCGTCACGATGTTTCTGGCTCATCGTCCGACAGTGACTCCTGGGAGTCTGAGTCGGAAGATTCCAGCTTTGTCAACATTGAACATGATCATATAGATGTTGATCGACGTGGACGAGGACGTCAGCGGCCCGGCAAGAGATCGAAGAAGACTCAGAGACATCGATCACTCAGCAAAGCTAGAGCCCTCAGCCGTAGTCGTAGCCGAAGCCGTGCACGCAAGAACAACGTCGATCCATATATTGCAAAGACTACCCGTCGACACCGCACTTCAGACATAATCGATGATCAACGCAATGGTAGGCATAGCCCAGAGTCCTTCACTACCGACTCTTCTCGGTCTTCTCACAACAAAGTGCCGCCTGTTCATATCCACTTGAGCACCAATAATATTGTGGAAGACCGAACACGTTCCGGCAATGCCTCACCAGTTGGTCTCTCCAACGAGAAGAAGAAGAGATCTGGAAAGTATTACTCCTCGCACGACATGGCTAGGGAGACCTCCAACTCATCATCAGACCGTGGAAGCGGCACCGAGTCTATGAACACTACATCTGCCCACACAGCAGATGATGGTATCTTTGACACTCCTATACGCCGCCGCCCTTCTTTCACGCACGTTCACCGTCGTCAGAAGGTCTCTTATGGAAGAAAGTCACCAAATGTGTTCGGCCAGCCGCACGCCAGCCACATCTATGACGAAGACATTGACCATCGTCGGGTACAGAAGGTTAGATACCACAAAGAGACAGTAGACGACTACCCACACCCCCGAAGCCCACGCGCACACATACATGAGCCCGAGTCGTACTTCGACGACTATCCAGCTCATGCTGTTCGCCCAAGCCTGCCAAACCGCCGCGCAACCCTGGCCAACCCACCCAATATCCACAATCCTTTTGCGCAGTCTCACTTTCCACCCAAACCAGTGCGCGCCTCATCATACCTCGCGGATAGGCATGAGCAAGGCTACAGCTACCCCCAGCCACGCGCGATTGGAGACCAAGACGAATTGGATGCGCGATACGCACTCAATGACATCCACGCAGCTCTTGAGCACATCCAGGACAAGAAAGAGCGATCGGCCAGACGCTCGAATATGATGGGTAGGAGGGACTCAGCCTTCCAGTATGAAGATGATGAGTGGCATGCTAGGGTGCCGTTGAGTGGGCGACGTGGAGGTTATGGTGGGTACTAGGTGATACGCATGTTCTTTCGTTCTCGCTTCTCTTCTCGATGCTTATGTCTTTCTGATGAGTGTGTCGGTTCTTCGGCGATACGTTCTGGCTGGTGTACAGCTTCTACTCAACTCTTCACGCGGGGTTCTTCGGCTAGGGTACATCATCACAGCGTCATGAGTCTTTCGTTTTTGGATTAACATCTTGAATATACTATCTCAATCTACATCGCATACCCGCATTGGTTACATTCTCTTCAACATGACAATTTGATACCGAGTGAACCAAGTCCACTAGCCCTGATCCAGCTCAGACGGTGTGAGCACCTTTCTTAGCTCTCTTCAATCTCAGCATGGATGCTGCTATCCTTCATAATACACTCACCATACACGGCGAGTAATGACTCAAGATTAGTCTTTGCATAAAAGTGATTTTCAACGAGAAGACCACTTCGAGCATAATACGCTGCTTCTTTGTACTTTCCCTGCACGAAGTTGTTGTCCGCGAGCATATTGTATCTGGATGGGACACATTAGCATGACATGAAGAGTACGATCGGGCCCGAATACTTACGCAGATGATAGCAACCAGTCGCGTACGCCCAGTTCGTGCAGTAGATCGACGTAGATGCGAAGCTTTGCGCAGGAGATTTGACCTTCCACATTACTATAGGTGGAGCACAAAGTTCGCTCCGACGCGTCCGGCTCGAGCGCAGGCGCACATGCTTTGCAACTGCAGTCGAAGCCCCATCCTAGCATCAGTGCTGCTTGGCGAGCATCTCTGCTCTTTTCCCAATCGTCCGCGATGTAGTTGATCAGGATCTCTTCACCAGCGTCTATCTGTCGCGTAGCAACTAGTCGGCCATACCCTCTAACATCTGCATCATGCTCGTCGATATAAAGTACTGCATTGGGGATGCAGGAGTGGTTGGCGAAGGATATCGTGCGATAGACAACTAGGCGAGTGTTGTCATTACATGCAAGGGGACGAGTTGGGAACTTGAAAGCGTTATACCGACAACGATCTACAAGGTGCTCGACGTCTGTAGCCCTGGTCTTCGAAGTATAGAGCTTGTGGAAGGCTTCTCGGTCTTGCCAGCTTAGCCGGTTGTATGCGGTCGTCAAACGCGTAGTAGTTTTGTTGACCTCTTCGTCGTAGAAAGCGATGACTTCTCTGTTCTGCTCCTCGGTCCGCTTGCGTGTCTCGCATTGGAAGAAACCGTATTCGTCGAGAATGAGGGCGCCTTTCTTGAAGTCTTGCTGTGCCACAAGGCCATTACCCGCAACAACGTTGGCATCAGTGACGCGTACCTGAGGATGATTTGCTGCCATGTTTATCGTGTGGTTGATGACTTTGACCCGTATGGACGATGTGTGAAGTCTATCAACGGACGTTGGATCGACCCTTATATCCCGTCAGCTGCGGCAGTTTGCTGATCTGGAAGCACAAACAGGAGTCTGGTTTGAGAAAGAATCATCGACACGCTCATTGTTCAGGAAGAAATACAACAAATGATCATATGCAAACACTACATAGGTAGGATCGAAAAAGGACCCATGGCCGCCTTGTTGTACTCCTCAAGCAGCCTTTCGTCCTCCTCGTGACACTGTCCTATTATCTCGTTTAGCTGCGGTTTGCTAGGCGTAGCAATAAAGAAGTTCTTCTCGACGATTAGCCCTGCGTGGGCAGTTTGCTTTGCCTGCGCGTAGTCTTCCTTTCCGAAGTAAAGTCGTGCGAGTTCTAGACATCTGTTCGAAAGTCATCAGTGGTGTAGTCATGAAGAGTAAGTGGTTTGACTTACGCGTTGGATAGGTCTGCGTCCCATCTGCCCAAAGAAGTAAGAATGTTGATGTAGCCCGCCAGATTCATGATGCTGTGATTCTTCTCCTCCTCAGTTACTGCTGCTACCATAGCAGTGATGTTGGTCCTGTATTCGCGGACTAGATTGCGCGAGATCGTATCCATAGCGGTAAACGGGTGTGTACACCCGTTGCACAAACACGTGAATCCCCAGTGATGGTTCAGTACAGCGTTTCGAGCTACATGGTTACCGAGCCAGTCGCGTTCCATGTAATTTACAAAGATCTCGGCTCCGTCTGGGATTGCTCTAGTTGCTACAAGCCTTGCCTGGCCTTCCGGAAACACCGTGCGGCGAGGCCATATTTCGATGGTAGCGTTTGGAACACACGAGTGGTTGATGGAGCTGATGTCTTCATACACTACCAGGTGTGTTTTGTTATTGCTGGCATTCACGAAGGTGAATGCGTTGCGTTCGAAACGATCGACGTATCGATCGAGTGTAGAACCATGGGCTGGCCGGGGCCAGAGCGTACGTAGTGTTTTTCGCTGCTCTAATGTAAGATCGTTCACAGCTGCATAGATGACAGAAGTTGCATGTATTCGTTGAGCAGCATAGAAAGTGTCGACGGTATTCTGGTCGGACCACTGATTTTCAGTACTACCGGTGTTGCAGGAGACAATGGGGTCTTCCGTGAGTATGAGGTCGCCCCGTCCAAGTGATCGATTCGCAAATAAACCGCGCCCTCCAAGTGGGCTGTTCTGGGTTTGATAGTTCATTTGGAGCTGCTGATGAGGTAGTGTCCGTTTCTGGCTGTGAAGCTCTACCTTCTGCTTGTGAATGCTGCATTATATGTGCTGAGCACCGAGACAGTTCCATTGTTAGCAAGCAACTTTGTGTTAGACTCCATGTAAGACATGAAAGTGAGATCAAGACACATGTTCGAGAGCAGATGAAGTGACGATACCTAGGCAGCTCATCTGGTTTGCGCAACACCGCAGCGGCAGTGGCCACGCAAAGGCTGGTGTATTTTGTGAGCGAAGTCCAGATCTAACGATCCGCGGATCATTTCGTATATCAGAGTCAGTTGTGTGACAGCGGTCTCAGGCTCCGCGGTGGTGCTGCAGGCTCAGGAAAAGAAGTAGAGCTCCTAACCCCAAGTTTAACAGTCAGACTATTTTTGCGCTAAAATTGCCTCTAATACATAACCTAACGCATAGCCTACTCTACTAAAGTTTACTAGTAGTTTTATATTATTACTAATAATTATAGTATATAATATAGTATTATTACTAACACTTATACATAGAAATAATATATTATTATAAATGTTATAGTACTATTTTTATATTACGCATAATTTTTTTAACGTTCTAGGCTATATTAAGGTACTTTTAGCGCGTTCTAGATGTTGTTTTTTACCTTTTCTATAAAATAATTACTTATAGATATTATTTTATATAATATATATATAATAATAATATTATTTATAGACTCTTTTATAATTTTATATATATATAAAGAGACTATTAAACTTTAAAATAACGTAGTCTTTCTAAAGAGTAAAATTTATATATAAAAATGTTAGAAGCTTATTTTAAACGTAAATTTAATAGTTTTTAATATATAAAATTATAGTTTAGACTATTTTATTACTTAAAATATTATAGCGCTAATATTTTAGAGGTATATTAACGTTTTAGACGCGTAAACTTTTCTTAATATAGACTTAGCGCTAATAGGTAATCTTTAGAAATAATTATAGTAATATTATCTATAATCTAACTATTCTCTACTATATTCTTAGTATCTATATCTTATAGTTAAGGTTATCTCTAATATTTCTAATACTTTTTAGCTATTATTAGTACGTGTGTACCTCTTAATTTTATTCTACTTTTACTATATAATATAAAGTTATTATACTTAACGCTGCTAAGCTACTTCTTTACTACGTTAGTATTATTCTAGTTAATATCTACTCTTCTTCTCTTAATTAGTGCTAATAGAGGCTTTAATATAAGTATTTATAGCTATTCTCTAATATCTTAAATAATTTTACTATATTTATTTTACATACTATATATCTTATATACTTACTTTTAATCTAAGTCTTTTATCTTATTTATATACGTCTATAATAATATAGATTAGTAAAAGTAATATAAAGTATTATCTTAGACGTATCTTATACTAATAGTAGTTCTATTTATATATATTCTACGTTTTAGAGGTAAAACTACTACTATATATAAGAGACTATAAAAAGAAAAGTAGAAGCTAGCCTTTAATTATTATAAGCGCTCTTTTTAAATTATTCTATATAGCTTTAAGATTATAAATTAGTAGCTTTATAATTAGTAAAGAGATCTAGATATCTTTCTTACTAAACGTTATAGTAACGCCTCTAATATTAATAGTTCTTATCTCTTTTCTTTAGTAAGCGCCTATAATAATATTACTTAGTTAGATAGTATTATTAATATAGCTTTATATATTCTCTTATTAAGAATAACTATATACTATTTCTTCTATCTCTCTAAACGTTAGTAGTATAGCTATAGCATACTATACATTATATATAATATTATAGTACTAGTAGATATAAAGGTAGGTAGTGTCTATACTAAAGAGTAGCTAAACGTTCTTAATAAGTATAAAAAGAAACTAGTTATATAAGTTAACTTATAAAAGTATAGATACTTAGTAATATTATAATAGTAGTAACGTTAGTACTACTACGTTACTAATGTTATAAGCTAGTAGTAGTAGAGTATATTATAAACGTTAGAGCGTATAGATAGAGAGATTCTTTAGTCTATAGATATTTAGGTCTTTAGTACGTTTTTAACGTATTAGAGCTAGCTATAATTATTAGCTACGTTCTTACTAGATAGTATGTTATTATTTTTAACGCGCTTACTTAATTACTACTTTCTTAGCTACCTTTCTTATCTATATAGATGTTCTAAATCTATTAGCTTTATACTTTTACGTCTATAATAATAATACTTACGTATATAACACTAACTCTTAGTCTTTAGTAGAGAAAACGTTATAAGTGTTTAGTATACTAAGAGTACTACGCTTTTAGAAGTACTAAATTTATTTAGATACCTTCTACTTTAAAGCGTTATAAACTATATTAGATAATTATTAAGAGTAAATAGAGTAGAATATTAGTAGGTTAAGGTAGTATCTTACTATTTATTATATTATTATATTTATTATTAATAATAGTAAGTAGACTAGATTTATAGTAAATAATAATTAGTAAAGTAGAATTATTAAAGACGCACTAGAAAAGTCTTATCTAGTTATATATATAGGCTCTACTACTCTACTTCTTATAGTATTTAGAACGTATACTACGTTTATAAGTATAGAGATATCTTTACTCTATAACTATTATACTTTATACTTATTATTATTATACTCTATAATACTACTATATAAGAAGAAGATAGTAATATTTAACTTACCTAAAGAAGTGCTAAATATAATTACTTTTAGCTAGAGCACTAGAGATAATAAGCTAAAAAATAATAATAATCTTAATACTATTAACTAAGATAATCTTAGCTATAAGATTAACGTTACTACTAAGTACTAAGATAAGCTTAAATAAGTTAAGTAGAAATTAGTATTTATAAAGAAAAAGCTTTAATTATTAGAGATAACTATAAAGTAGTTTTATACTTAATCTATAATTAGAGCTTATAAAGAGTACGTTAGTAATAATTATATATAGTAGTTATTAGCGTTAATAATAAGTCTAAGATAGTAGAAACGTTTTAAATAATAGATTAAGGCAAAACGTCTAGGTTTAAAGCGTAAGCTTAATAATTCTAGTTCTTAAATACTAAAGCTTATTACTCTCTAGATATAGAAGTTATATAATACTATATTATTAGCAACAAAAGAGAAAAGCTAGTTCTATTATTATTAATATTCTTTAGCCTATTCTATTACGTTTTCTACGTATAAAGACTTTACTCTAGATTTAAGAGCTACTTTAGTAATATCTAAGGCAATTAAAGATAAGCTAGATACTAATATATATAGTAGTTAATTATTCTTTTATACTTAAAAGATAAAAGTAATAATTAGCTAGTACTATAAGTATTAAAAGAAGCGTAGTATAAGTAAGTAGAAAAAGAAGAAGAATAGAAAATATACTAAAAATCTATTCTATTTTATAATAGTATTAACGTTAATAAAAAGTATTAAACGTTAAAAAGTATATTCTTTAACGTTCTTAGAGAGTATTATTAATAACGTTTAAGTATAAGTAGGTAAAGTAGCTAAGAGTGCCTACGTAGTTAAGAAGAAAGATTTATAAAATATATAGAATAATACCTAGGCTAGATTTCTAGGTAGTTATAATAAAAAGGCTCTTTTTTAATAATTACTACTTAATAAGCGTAGTTATATTATTTAGGTATAATATTATTAATAATTAATAATACACTTAGTATATATAATATTATTTTAATACTTTCTATAGCTTAAGAAGTATTTATAAATTAAGCTATAGATACTATAGATTATTAATAAAGAGAAGAGAATAATTAAACTTACTCTTCTTTTCTATAAAATACACTAGAATAGAGGTTTATACTATTACTCTATACAATTACTTCTATTAATATCTAGTATATAGAAATTAAGCTATTTATTCTTTACGTTAATTAGTGTAAACGTTATCTCTTAATTCTAGACCTATTACTTAAGTAGCTAGCAATCTTAAAGATTTAGGCTAGCTATCTTTTTTAATAATTTAACGCTTTTAATTATTCTAAACTATAAAATATAAAGGTAATTATAAGTATATATATTAGTATTATTTAAATAGTAATATTACTAATATATTATAAGATAGTAATAGCGTTTATTAAGAACTTCTATAACTATCTTATTAATATTAATGTTAATAGTAGCTACTACTTTAGCTACTTATTTTATTAAAGTAGTGTTTAGTATTTCTTACTTAATAAACATTAGTAACTAAAACGTATATATAAATAGAGTAAGTAGTTAATAGAGTTTACGTTAATAATAATTATAAAGTATCTTATTAGTATAAATAATAATCTAAGTATAAGGTAGAATAAGTATATAGACCTATTACTTTATCTAGAATAATTATATTAGTAATATAGTTAAA